CTCCTGGAGCTCCAGACTCATAGATCCAACTGCCTCCTCCCCACCTCCACTTGGATGTCTGATTAGCATCTTAAAGTTGATGTGCTCAAAGCACTACCCTTCATTCCCCCACCAAACCTACTATTTCCAGCCTCCACCCCTGGCCTCCCTCCTTCTCCTGGTCTCAGTAAATGGCATCATTATCCAGCCTGTTGTTTAATAAAAAATTAAACTGCTTTTGTTCCTGGTTCCTGGGAAGGAACCTCTCAATTCTTGGGATTTCCCAAGAGACAGAGGTGTCTCGGTTGTTCTGAGCCCCTGGAATCACACCTGAGTTTATGCTAACGAGCTGAGTCAGGATGGGAGCTGGTCACCAGAAAGACCAATCAGGGAAGCAGATGGGTGGGGCTTGAGCCAGCCCCGCCTCCAGGGAGGGGAGGGATAGAGACGCAGTTTAATCATAACTGCTGTATGTATCTCTTCATTTGGCTGGTCTTGACCTGTAGCCTTTATAACAAGACTGCAGTCGTAAGTATAGCATTTCCCCAAGTTCTGTGAGTCATCCTAGTGAGTCACCAGGCCAGAGGGGTTGCAGGAACCCCCAGATTTGTAGCCAGCCCCCTAGAAGTACGGTGGCTGGCGCCTGAGGAGGGGATGCTCTTGTTGGGAACAGTGTTCTCTGTCTGGCGGGGTCTGTGCTAACTCTGGGTGGTTAGTGCCAGGTTTGAATATCAGCACTCCAGCAGCGTTAGAATGATGGTGCCCCCCCTACCCGGAGTCACCCAAGATTCCTCCCCTTCCCTCATCCCCCAAAGTCCAATGACAGACTGAGCCCCACGAGCTCAGCCTTCACATCTGTTCAGTACATGGCCACTTCCCCCCCACCACCACTGCCTTGACTGGGTCCAGCCACCAGCACCTCTCACCTGAAATTATGGCCGTCACTGAAGCCTCCTCCCTGTCTCCCTGCTTTCCCCTTTCTTCTGGCTGCCTACTCTCCACACAGCAACTGGGGGCTGAAAGTTGGCCATGCAAGCCGGTTTGAAACCTTGCATGCCTGCCCCCGTCCACCCTGGCGTTAAGGCAGAGTCTTTGCCATATGGCCCTCACTTCCCTCCCTGACGTCACAGCCACCTCATGTTCCCCTGCTCTGTCCCTTTGGCCACACTAGCTTCTCTGTGTCCCCAGCTAAGCTTTGGCCTGCCTCAGGACTTCTGCTTTTCCCTTTGACCTGGAATGTGCTCATTCCGTACATTCAATCTGAAAGGCCACCTCCTCCAAGAAGCCTTCCCTGATTACCTTCTATAAAACTGCCTCCCCTACTCCCTTCCCCACCTCCTCTCCCTGGCTTCACTCTTGTCTGTAGCCTGGACAGCCTGAGAGATGGCATTTTGTTTTGTTGTTCACTGTCCTGCTCCCTTAATGGAACGGCAGCTCTTGAGGGCAGGGGCCACACCTGCTCTGCTTGCTGCTGTCCTTCCAGCACTCGACTCAACAAATGACTGTCAAATGAATGAATAAACAGGTGCCACCAAGAAAGCTGGTCAGACTCTGGGAAGGGTATTGTACCAGTGACATGGTGTCTCACTGAATCTTTGCTTTGCCGCTGGTTGTTCTAAAGATGTATTCACAGAGGTGTGGAAAGAAGCGCAAGAGGGTCATACAGTTCAAGCAGTTTGAGTGAAAGGAAAAGAAATGTTTTCTTAGTAGGTAACCAACAGATGCTCTGAAAGCAAAATGTGCCAGGTCATTTACTCTAGAAGTTACTGAGAGGTTAAAGGCAAAAGAGACAACTGGGAAAAATTCACAGAACGTGGAATTTCCCGACTCGGGTTCTGGTCTTATTTTTCCCATTTCCAAGTTGTGTCACTCTGGGTGAGGGCCGTCCTCCCTCTGAGCCTCAGTTTTGTTATCTGTGTAATGGGAAGGATGCTGACAATGCCTCCTGGCCTGTGTCCCAGAGTCGCTGTGAGGGTCCCGTGAGAGGCAGACAGAAGCAGGCCTGCCAGCTGCTACTCAGTTCACTCCTGGGCTAACACCCACCAGGACATTTAGGTGAGAAGCAAAGTCAGGGGCTGCCCCGGTGGCCCAGTGGTGAAGAACCCACCTGCCAATGCGGGGAGCATGGGCTGCATCCCTCTCCCAGGAGGATCCTACGTGCCACGGAGCAACTAAGCCCATGTACCACAACTACTGAGTCTACGCCCCAGAGCCCAGGAGCCACAGCTACTGAAGCCCACATGCCCGAGAGCCCGTGCTCCACGGCAAGAGAAGCCGCTTCAATGACAGGCTTCACACTGCAGCTGGAGAGTAGGCCCCGCTCGCCGCAACCGGAGACAAGCTCACAGCAACAAAGATCCAGCACGCTAAAAAATAAATAAACACTTTTTGAAAAAGAAATAAAGTCAGTACCGAGTGGATCTCTAGAAATAATGGCCAGTTTTTTCCTCTGTCAGGAAAGATGCTGAAGGAAGAGATTTTGCTGAATTAGAGGAAAATGCTAAACCAAGTTGTCATGCTTCGTGGGGACAAATTTTCTCATTTGATCATCCCTTCAGCAACTCTGAAATCCTGGGCACAGTCCTGGAGCCCAGCCTGGGCCCTGACATGGGACCCTAGGCAGGTGGTCTCCCCTGTCCCCGGATACTGAGGTCCCTGCTGGCCGGCCTGCCGGGGCCACTGTGAGTCGGAGGCCCTCTGAGTGGCTGGCAGTTGGACTATCGGAGCTCAGTGTGGGCTGAGGTTTGGCAAAGGCACTTCCAGATGCCTCTGCAAGTATCCTACTATCTGCCTTTGCCTAAATCGCAAAAGTGCACTCACTCGTGACTCCTCCTTTCTACCCACATCTTGACTGACATTCGCTTCTGTTTACTTCCCCATGGCCACCGTCAAGTCCAGGCTACCAGGATGACTGCATCAGCCTCCCAACTATCCCACTGTCCCCCCAGCTCCCAGCCATCCATTCACTCCACAGCAGCAGCCAGATCATGCCTATTTGAAATACATACTCAAGACATGGAAGCAACCTAAATGTCCCCTGACAGAGGAATGGCTAAAGAAGATGTGGTGCATATATACAATGGACTATTACTCAGCCATTGAAAAGGATGAAATGATGCCACTTGCAGCAAGATGGATGCACCTAGAACTTATTATACTGACTGAATTAAGTCAAATAGAGAAGGAGAAATATCCTAGGACATCCCTTATATGCAGAATCAAAAAAAGAAATGATACAAATGAACTTATTTACAAAACAGAAGCACACTCACAGACCAGAGAACCAGCTTATGGCCGCCAGCAGGGAGGAGGGAGGAAGGGATAGTCAGTGCATGTACACACTGCTATATTTAAAGTGGATAATCAACATGGATCTGCGTATAGCACAGGGAATTCTGCTCGGTGTTTTGTGGAAGCCTGGGCGGGAAGGGGTTTTGCGGGAGAATGGATACCTGTAGACGTATGGCTGAGTCCCTTTGCTATCCACTTGAAACTATCACATTGTTAATTGGCTACATGCCAATATAAAATAAAAGGTTTTTTTTTTTTTTTTAAGTCTGCCATCCTCCTTCCAATAAAGAAAAAACAAAAACAGAGCATGTCCAGCTTTGACAGATCTTTAATCCTTCCCCACTACCGCCTTTTACTTCTCCATCTAAACTTACCTGCCCATGTCCCAGCTCCTCAAACCCTGCCGTCTGCTGAGGCTAATCTGATCAGAGAGTTTCTACAATGGACATACATGCCCAAGGCTTACTAGACCACTCCAGACAGCGGAGTAAAAACAATTCGGTAATACACACTTACTATGTGAAACTCGGAAAACACAGAAAATCCAAATCGCCCATTCTCTCCTAACTAACCTATGGATGAGGTTTGGACAGAAGCTTTCAAGCCTTCCTCATCCTTTCCCGGGGGTGACGCGGGTGGTGGCAATGTGGGCACTGCGGCAGGCCAGCGGGGAGGGGTGTTGGTGGAGACGGCTGTCTCCTGTCAAATGCCCTGGTGTGCAGAGGTGCTCAGTCGTTCAGTCGTGTCCGACTCTGTGCGACCTCTTGGACTGTAGCCCGCCAGGCTTCTCTGTCCGTGGGATTCTCTAAGGCAAGAACACTGGAGTGGGTTGCCATTTCCTACTCTGGGGGGATCTTCCTGACCCAGGGATCAAACCTGCATCTCCTGCATTGGCCGGCGGATTGTTTACCACTGAGACACCTGGGAAGCCCCAAATGCCCTGGCGTGACTGCTGATTCCACTGAGCCCTGCACACACCCACCCCATGGAAGGACAATTTCTCTGATTGCTCCAAGGTTGCGAGTGAAGTGGCAGCCTATAGCCATTGACAGAACTCCCAGGCAGCCCCCCAGGCAAAGGGGCTGTGTTTCCTAACGTTTGTAAACGAATGGACAGTCATGAAGCTCCAGGAACGTCCTCTGTGGGCTTCCAGGCCCTTGTTCCATTCCAGGCCCCACGGAGGCTGAGCCAAGGCCCTCCCCGCAGGGCTCCCCTTTCTCAAGTCCCCGAGTCAATAATACCCCCTCAGTGTGGCTGACCTCAGTCACATAATAATTGAAAAATAATCCGATGGCGTTAAAAGATACTGAAGTGTGAATGACTGAAATGAGAGCTGTGTAACCCGCCCAGGAACATGGGTCTTTATCTCAAAAGGACACGAGCTAGCCCAAGCGCCCCTCTGTTTTGGTGGAACGTCACGGCGAGGTAACGCGGCAACACGCAGGCCCTGCAGGATATAAGGGGAAAGTCACAGCCACAGGAAATGTGTCCAAACCGCAGCTTCCCTTCTGCTTCTTGCTTCCTTTTCCTTCCCCACTACCCGCAGGACCTCAGGGGTCAAGGAGTGAAGTGTCGGTGTCAGGAGGGGCTAGGGAGGCCCGGGGGTGGGTGACTGTACACACAAGTGGTTTGCAACCCAGGGGTTTCCTAATGGGGCCACTGTTGGTGCTGAAGTGTAAACAGGATGCAGAGCACCCCAGGTGAACCAGGGGTCTCAGTCTCACACTCACCTGTCTCCTGGGCCGTCCTCAGTCCACACTCCAGGGAAGCCTACAAGCAAAGATCAGAAAAGCCTGTCAGAGGGGTCTGTGTTTTCTGGGCTCCAGATCAGTGGCCAGGGATCTGAAGCTGACTGAAATTTAGTATTTGCTTAAAATGTCATGTTTGAACTGATCCCAGTATTTAGACGCCGAGGATGGTGGATGATAATGGTGAATGCTCACTCGTGCCTGACTCTTTGCCACCCCCAGTCCAGTAGCCCAGGAAGTGCCTCTGTCCATGGGATTTCCCAGGCACAAACACTGGAGCGGGTTGCCATTTCCTTCTCAAGGGGACCTTCCCGACCCAGGGGTCAAAGCTGCCTGCCCTGAGTCTCTAGCGTTGCAGGCAGATTCTTTACTGCTGGGCCACCGGGGAAGCCCAGGAGCCGAGGGGCTGCATGCAAAAGCCCAGCTTTCTGACTCCTCCCAGGAGAGCTGCACCTCTGGGCCACGTGTGGAGAGGACAGTGATGGGCTGGAGTCGAGCAGGGCTGTCCTCTTGGCTCTGCCGGGCTCCCTACCCGGTCTTTCCCTTCTCTGCTCCAGACACGCAGACAGAATTCTGGGACAGGTGATGGGGGCAGGGGGGAGATCCCAGGCCCATCCCTTGGAGTAATCCAGGGTGAGAAGATGGAATAAGATTCCAGGCGAAGTTGGGGTCAGGGGTCCTGCTGCCCCCTCCCCAGGATCCCTCTCCAGTACCTTGCTCTGCAGCTCTGGGGAGCTGTAGGAGGCAGGGTCTTGAGAGGCTCATAAAGGACCTCTTGACAAAGTTGTGAGCAGCAGTGATACAGTTCCCCTCGTGGGAGCAAAACGTTCATCACTACCACCCCTCATCTGGAAGCAGGTGGGAGGAAGAAATAGTTTCCAGACCTAGGCACAGAATGGGCTGCAAGGCAAGACCCCTGATGGGAGCTGTCACCTGTAGGCAAGGCATGCAGCCAGCCCAAGGGGACCCCCGGGGGACAGCTGGAAGACTAAACACTTCAGCAGCTCCCTGCCCCTCACTCTGGGGCTTGCCAGGGCTCCCCACTGGCAGAGCCAACAGGAAGCTGGCCGGGGGGCAGGAGCTGAATGGATGCAGCCCTCCGGGTCTCCTCCCAGCACAGGGGGGCGGAGAAGGGCGGCCAGTGGGTCTCCAGGGGTGAATGGCAGAGTCCAGTGCAGCGGCCCTGCCTCCCGCTCCCCTGCCCTGTTCACAAACTGGATCCATACCTAAGCCGAGGCTGACCAGGTCCTTCAAGGTGTCAGAAGCTCGGTTCCATCCCAACAGCTATTAGCTGTCCCTAATAGTGCCAGAGCCTCTCTATTCTGCTCACTTGACCTTGTGTGAATTTTCCACCCCTCTTCTAGCTGCCCGCCTATCCCCTTGCACCTGGAGCTCCGTCCACCAACAAGTTCAGGGCCCTGAGCTCCCATTGCCACCCCAACCTGTCCTCTTTCACTGGACACCATCAAATTCCCCTCCCTACAGAGCCAGGCTGTGCTCTTCCTGGAAAGACAGCCCAGGGTTCCCAGAGATCGGGGCGCAGAGCTGCAGGGAATCCACTGGCACGAGGCTGACACAGAGCTCCCCTCCCCAAACCACTTCTGGGAAAAGCACGCGCCTCGCAAGGGGCAGCCACCTGCAGGGTTTCGTGGAAGCCAGAGCAGCCAGAAGGGACCTGGGAGATCGCCTGCTGCATACAGAGGGAGAGACTGAGGCCAGGAGAGGCAGAGGCCTGCCCTGGTCACAGCCAGAAGGCGGCAGAGCCCGTGTCCCGTCGTCTTGCCAGGCTGTCCCTGCCTCCCAGTCTGGGACACACGAGGGCCCGGCCGAGTCAGGAGACTGGTGTCAGGCTGTTTCCTCGATAACGATTTTACTAGTGAACACCAACATCAAGGGATCCCAGTTCATCCTCTCCTCATCCCAACTCTGTGAGGCAGGTACTGCAGTGGCAACAGAAGAGGAAGATGAGCTCCAGAGGAGTTATCTGCCGTGCCTTAGACCAGCACGTCGGGTGAGGTCTGTCGCCGGGGCAACAACATCGATGACAATAATATTAAAAATGAGAGTTGCCAACTAGGATGTTTTTCCCAAGCTGGTCCCTTACGGAGGGTGTCACACACATCATCCCAGGAAATGTTTTGTTGGGGTTGGGAGTTGAACTTTTTCTAACTTTGGTTAGAATGCAGAGGGTATGTATATTTCCAGCTTTACTGAGATATAATTGATGTATAACATTATGTAAGTTTAAGGTGCACCTGTCATTAGACATACATATTGCAAAGTGATGATCACTGTAGCATTAGCCCTGCATCATGTCACATAATTACCATTTCTTTTTCCTGCTCGCTTAGCAACTTTCTAGCATATATACCCCATAGTTTTAACTAGACAGGATTTGCTGCTGTTAGCTGCTAAGTCATGTACAGCTCTTTGCGACTCCCGTCGATTGTAGCCCACCAAGATTCTCTGTCCATTGGATTTCCCAGGCTAGAATACTGGAGTTGGTTACCAATTCCTCTCCAGGGGATCTTCCCAACCCAGGGATCAAACCCACATCTCCCGCACTGCAGGAGATTACCACTGAGCCACCTGTGAAGCCCCTAGCTATGGGTTGTTTACCTGGTTCCTGACTATTTAGTTCCACACACTCACTTTCTGAGCCTCTGTGGGCCTCTCCCTGATATTCAGCCCATGTGAGGCAGAAAGCAGAATCAGTCACCAGTCATGACGAGTGTCCTCCGTGATGTCCTAGGGGCCTCCCCAGGCCGGGCTGGGTCCCCTTGCTCCCTACTTGAGGCCTTGAACTCACGCACACAGTGGCCAGGGCCCAGGCTGGACTTATGAGTGGGCAGCAGGACTGCCTCATGAGCGGTGCCCTGTCTTCTCCAACAGGGACTGTGAGGATGAAAGACTGATGAGCAACCTGTCCTTGCTGGTGAATCTTTAATCATGGAAGAAAGGAGATCCCAGCCCCCAGCTCAGGCAGGCCGGCAGGGACGGTGGCACTTGGGCATCACCAATGTTAACATTTTGTCCACACGGACACAGCCATGAACCCTGCATCCACGTTTTCTTGTCCATAAGTAAAGGTGAAAGGGCAGGAGGAGGGGTGACTGGTGGGAAAACGGCCAGACTCCCAGCCTAGGAAGTGCTGCAGAGACATGAGGATGAGTGAGACCAGGTACACAAGGCCTGGGGCAGGTCCGGGCACAGGGGCAGAGGGTGTGGAGGCCTGAAGGCCAGGCCAACGGTCAGTCAAGACTCCTGCCCTCCTACACTGCAGGTGACCACGCCTCACATCCCAGATCCTCTTACGGTGAACCAGCAGAGACAGCGCTGAGCTCAGAGCATGGTCCTTGGGTGGGCGGTGGGGGGGGGGGGGGGGGGGGTCCCAATCCCCAGCCTCAGGTCACTGGCCCCAGAGAGCAGGATGCCTGTGGGGTGCTGTTTAGTTGCCCAGTCATGTCTGACTCCTTTGCAACCCCCATAGACTATATCCCACCAGGCTCCTCTGTCCACGGAGTTTCCCAGGCAAGAATACTAATGTGGGTTGCCATTTCCTCCCCCGGATCAGGGATCAAACCCGTGTCTCCCACACTGCAGGCGGATTCTTTACCACTGAGCCACCTGGGACGCCTGCCCGTGGGGTTACGCACAACCCAATTCCATCCAATTTTACAAGCCAGGCCATAAGGAGAAATGAAGGCCTGGGTCCAAGTCTCCACTTCATCATTTACTTGCCCATGTTCTCGAGCAAGTCACTTCTGCCTCCCATGCCTCAGCTTTCTCTTCCATAATATGGAAACAGAAATAGCCACTGGAGCGAGCCGCGATGGAGATATAATGAGAGGATGCAGGGGGACACATGGAGGGCTGGCGCACATGTGCCTGGCAATGGTGAGTTCTTGATAAGCATTAATAATAATGAAGAAGAATGAACCAGTAGCTCCGCTCTCAAACTGCTTACAAACTAGTGTGGATTTCACACTGGCTAAGAACAAAGCTCACAATAAAGATGAAGGGTAAAATGACACTATAAAACATCCGGAATGAGAACTCAGGCTGGGGGCATCATTTTGATAGAGGCAGCAATCAGGGTGGGGGAAGGGCTTCCTGGAAGAGGGGACCTGGAAAACAGGCTTCAAGTCCTTCCATGTTTTTGTGAGCTCAGGGAGATTACTATCTCCTCAGGTTCCCACCCATCCCCATCCTGAAGTCCCTTTTCAGCAAACTGGGCATCGATGAGGTTCTAGTGTATACCTGGTTCTCAGTGACACCACTGTAAGGCCAATAAAGTCACAAAGCGTTGGCTTGCAGGGGCCTCAGACTTTCTAATACCTATCCTGCCTCTTCCAGGAACCTCCCCAGGATTGCTTCAGCCCACGTGGATTCCATGCTTTTCACACGGCACCAGCAGCCAAAGCCCAAACCAAATGCCCTAAACAGCCTGCTGGCAGGGGAGGAGTATGGATTCTGGTCCCAGCTCGACCCTCTGCTCCCTGTGAGATGTTGGCCAAGAGCCAGGTTCTTCCAGTCATCATGTACAGATGTGAGAGCTGGACCATAAAGAAGGACAGTGCTGAAGAATGAATGCTTTCCAACTGTGGTGCTAGAGAGGACTCTTGAGAGTCCCTTGGATAGCAAGGAGATCAAACCAGTCAATCCTAAAGGAAATCAGTCCTGAATATTCATTGGAAGGACTAATGCTGAAGCTCCAGTACGTTGGCCACCTGATGCCAAGAACTGACTCATTAGAAAAGACCCTGATGCTGGGAAAGATTGAAGACAAGAGAAGGGAGTGACAGAGGATGAGATGGTTGGATGACATCACCGACTCGATGGACATGGGTTTGAGCAAACTCTAGGAGACAGTGGAGACAGAGGAGTCTGGTGTTCTATAGTCCATGGGGTCGCAGAGTTGGAAACAACTTAGTGAGTGAACAACAGCCACTCTCTGGGCCTCGGTTTCCTTATCTGTGACGAAGGGGTTGGACTAGAATAGAGTGCCCCTGAATAAACTCT